ATGAGAAGAAAGGAAGTAGTAAGAAAGGTTTTGAAAAATGGGTATTCCAACGTAAAGAGCATTGAGCTATTTTTTTGGAAATGCGCTATATAAATGTTATATATTATTATATTATTACTACAACTAAAAAAACCCCCCAATTCTTATCTGTTTCCCCTTTCTGCTCTGTTCAGATGGAGCTGGTGACGCGCAAACTTTACCTATGGAAAGAAGCCTCAAAGAGAGACAAGGAGAGGGCCGCGGACCTGCAGAGGAAGAACGAGGCTCTCATTTATAACTTACTACCTCCCCATGTGGCTGCAGATTTCTTAGGAAGGAGGAAGAAGGATAAGGTAGGGATGAAAAATGAAAAATGTTCGTTACTTTCTTTTGTGAAGAAAGTTAGTATAATCTTTTGTGAAGAAAGTTAGTATAATCTTTTGTGAAGAAAGTTAGTATAACCAGCCAGAACACTTTAATTATGATAAAGGAAAATACAGTGTATAATGATGAACTGAAGGGAAAACACAGTGTATATTGATGTACCAAAGGGAAAACACAGTATTTATTGATGTACCAAAGGGAAAATACAGGGTATATTGATGTATCAAAGGAAAAATACAGCGTATATTGATGTACCAAGGGGAAAATACAGAGTATATTGATGTATCAAAGGAAAAATACAGGGTATATTGATGTACCAAAGGGAAAATACAGCGTATATTGATGTACCAAAGGGAAAATACAGCGTATATTGATGTACTGAAGGGAAAACACAGATGTACCAAAGGGAAAATACAGTGTATAATGATGTACCTCTGCTTACCTCAGCATTAATATCAGACTCACGAGAGGAAAACATACTGTGTGGGTGGTTGGCGGGAGCTCTGGTGTGGTTTGCTTCTTCTTTCCTATCGAACACCTATCGTCCTTATCTCCCCTTCTTCTTTTTAAATGTTTGTTACTCTCCTGAGGAATCTCTAACCTTCTGGAGCTTATATGATCTTATGCAGTTGTGAGCGCCGTAAAACCTCTACTAAAACTAAAAACATACTATGGATTTTTTTGAATTTACATGTAGTACGTCTTCTTTGTGGAAAGATTGTACTGAACTAATAGTAGATGTCAAAACCGTCTGATTAGTACAATCTTACATGTTTTGTCTCTTTTGTTTTTATTTTTGTTGCCGTTTTCGGTTTTTTTTATCTTGTTTTCGTTTTCTTTTTGTTTTTTTAATATTTGTCTTTGCTTTTGTTTTGGGTTGATTTTTTATAGTGGTGGG